TACCTTTGCTACCGACATGCCAATGTGTTGTTGTCTTAATGAACTGAGATTTCCTTAATCTATGTAGAATTCTATTTATTGATCATGTACTAACTGGATGCAATACTGTAGTAAAAAATGCTGAGAATACCATTCTGTATCACATGTACTGTTTTGGAATAAAGCAAATTATTATTATTATTTTTACTAGGTGAGATCGAATAGTATAAAGGATGATGTTAGATTTCAGCTTTTGTGTATGACAGAGGTGCTAGCGCTTCGTCAATTAAGAGTAACTGCTTTCTTCAAAAAATATTCCGTATGCAAAGATTATCCATCTATCTATCTACCTATCTATCATCATATGATACTACTAATTAAAATAAATATTTAGCGTTTAATTTAGATAAATATATGTACATATATATATATGTATTATAAATTGTTATTCTTCTTCTCTGATTGTATCATTCCGATACATTATCCGTCTATCGCTCTCTATCTGCTTTTGTGTGTGTTTGTGTGTGGGGGAATAACCTTCGGTAGTTACTTCTATTATATGCATGTGTACTATGCCTGAGGATAATCCACTCTGCATACAGTTGAACACATAAACGTATGCACACCCCATACGCATGTATCCAGTACGGTTAGGGTTGACTTTGTTATTTCGTTGTTTCGGCTTAATTATTCTTCATCATTCAAGGAGAAGAAAGGTACAAGTAAGCTGTGTAACATTTTAATAAGCGAAAAATATGAATCAAATATGAAGAGTAGTAGGTGAATACAAAGATCCTCCCCTATACATACTGTTGCTTGACTGGATATTTAGTAAGGAGGAATTCAGTTTATGCTGTGATTTGGCTGTTAGAAGTGACCAGATGAATTGTTTGCAATCAGCAGGGAATCAAATTATGCCCAGCCCGATGATTTGGACCAATGTCAACTAATGTTGTAGTCACAGATGTTTACTGTTGAGCTGTTCTGACACACAGTTGAGATTTCCTGTCGGATGCTGATAGATACATAGACTAGTCATGAGTTTTGCTCTTGTAGTGTGTTGGTGCAGTCTAAATTCTATTTTATTTTGTTTTCATGTGTACCCTGAGCACAACTCTTTCACCAAACTATTCATGTTATTACTTAACTCCTCCTTAACAATCGCTTGTGACAACTCATCATTTTTGTTACTACCCTCTTGTATCAACATCCAGTTCCTCTGAACGCTATTTTTTGTAACTCCACCAAAAACTTACTAATTTTCACCTCCTTGGTTAAAACAACCCTAACCAATTGTATTTCCACTTGACAAATTTAATATACACACATACGAAATAGCCGTATATATATTTGCGAAAAGAGACTCTTCAGTGAACTACTGGTCTTCTCTGTATTAAATTCTATAAGTCAAGCTTTTGGAACATCGTGCGAGATGTATAGGCCTAAGGCTTCGTGTTGATTATCTCCAACCATCTAACATCATTTTCAATCTTCAATGCAAAGGTGAATCACCTAACTTGATGGAGAACTTCTAAAAAGTGAATTAAGGAACTGAGTCAGCACGATCACCAAGGGCTACCTATATGATGAGGCTATATATATAAATATATAAAGTCATAGTGAGTAGCCTCGAAAAAGGATTTACATTGCCTAACTATCTGTCAGTTGGTGTATCAGTGGTTCCATGGTAGAATGTTCGCCAATCATACAAATGGTGTGAGTTCGATTCGTAGCTGATGCACTCTTCCAAACTACACCTTTCCTGTAGTAAGCCTGAGAAAGAGGGAGACAGATTAGAAGCAAGACTGATAACATGCCACCGCATTAAAAAGTGCAACACAATTACTGAAGCTTCAAGAACTGAATTCCAATGTTTTGCTTAGAACTCAAGGAATGATATTGCATAAAACGCAACTCTTTGTCAGTTGGGATGATTCTATAATGTAATTTAAAGTATGTTCGAAATGGTGCTGTTGGAATCTAACATGGTGGCTAAGTGATGAAAGCAAAACTACTCGCAGGTACGTGAGTCATTCGTCTAACCGACTGTGTTTACTTGTGACTGTGTCTTAGGGATAGGGCGTGTTGATCACTTCACTTATTTGGGAATTTGCATCAGGTTGATCACTGATGAAATCTCAACAAGGATACACAAGACTCGTTTAGCATATGCCAACTTACGTGATCTCTAGCTTAGTAGACGTGATATCCGGCTGGATATTGATTAAAAGGCCTGCGTACTTCTCAGCACTTTGATCTGTCCTCCCTTATGGCTGTGGGTGAGACATGACCATTGAAAGTAGAAGACATGAAAAGCCAAGCTAGCTGTTTTCGATGATAGATGTCTGCATCCTATCTCCCGTGTTAATTGGCATAATAGGGTGAGCATTACTGAGGTTAGGGGTCGAGTACTAGGTAAGGAGGGCAAGTCAATCGATAACATTGTGAAGCTGTATTGATTGAGGTGGTTAGGACATATGTCACGTATGTCTAGCCATCGCCTTCCTCGACAACAGGCAATGTTAGCTGACAAAGGATCAGGTCGCGAAAGAGATAAAGGTGGTCAAACCAAAACATGGCTTCACCAGTCAATTAAATCCATAACAGTTAGTTTCAGTTAGCCAGTCACGTAGGGAGGTGTCAACTGCCTGACTGGTCAGTATCATCCAGACGGTAAACAGTAATGGCTGGAGACAATTGGTGAAATGCCTTAAAATCATTCTTAATGGCTGGCTCAGATGCATCTACTCTTTATGATTTGTAATATCCAATAAAATTATGTAATTCTTTCATATTACTATTCTTTTTGCCTGATATCTCCGTTAATTATCTGTCTGTCTCTCTGTCTTTTGAATCTCTCTTTACTCTCTTCTCTTGCTTTGAGTGCTAAATGGGGTGTGGCAACTCGAACTGCTGCACAGACGTGCAGCGAAGTTCTATGTTGAAACCAGACTGTCAATCAGTCAGACTATGTCTTGTGTTTGTATACTGATCCATTCAATTAACCACTCAACAGTTGAGTTGTATTATTAGCTTTGAAACTATCAATATGCATAACAAAATGTGACATCAAATCATTGTGAATTCATTAGCCCAATCTCTTCTTTCTTTCTTTATCTATACTTTTGCGTTCAGGATGAAACATTGGGTTTCGTGCTATGAGGTTTCGGTGGTAGTGTATCGTTTCATGAGGCTGAGTTACTAGCCTCAAACCCAACCTTTCCTATTAGCAGTCAGTTGGCTGAGAGTGGAACCTAGGCCATGTGGATGTTCAGTTGTACCTGTCTATACGACTATTACTAACTTGTAAATCTGTTACGGCAATTTCTAAATTTGAATGTTGCTACTCCTAACAATATATTTATTTATTGATTTTTTGCAACAGACTTAATTCTAGCAATATTCATGTAGATTGTAATACTTTAAGATAACTCATCTTCCTTTTGTATTATTTCACCGTAATACTGTTCAGAGTGTTTCTTACTGGCGGACTGATAAGTCTTGATAAACAAAAGTATTATGTTTACTCCTTTACGTTCCCAGTGGAATATAGGGTGGCTTCAAGCTAGTGCTTTGAAGTTTCCGTAGGAGTGTTTACTTTTAAGGGGTGGTGTTGCTAGCCTCATAACCAACCTGCCCTCTTACCGGTCTTATTACTGGCTTAGCGAAGTAAAGGAATGCGTCGGTGGCCGGTGATCGAGCCCCCAACCACTTACGTGGTTGGTGAGCATTCCACCGCTAAGCCACCGAAAGACACAAATAAGAGTGTGCTAAAGTTGTATTATAACTCGCTGTATTAAATCTTATAGATTGTAGACAGCTGAAGGAAATTATGAAATAAGCAGAATCCATGTCGCTTGTCCTTTAACATTTTACAAACAGAAATTCGTCTATCAGTCTCGTGTATCAAGTGAAGCAGTATAATCCACATCAGTGTGGTTAGATGTAAAGAGTTACTTGAAGATAATACAGTGATCCTGTAAGTCTGGAAAGAGACGACTAAAATGTGTTAAACATGCCAAGCTACTACATTCCTCACTAATCTAATGTCAACTAAACTACAACTAAGTTGGGGAAGATTTAAAGGTAATCATGCAAGAACCTGCCAATAATATATGAAGCGTTTGACTATCCGCTTTGGTTTACGCAGAAAAATGAAGTGTTATTCGTTGAGAATCTCCAGATATGAGGAATTTACGACTAAAGAGTGTTGGTGACACAGCTCAAACGTTTTCTCATTGGCATAGATGTGTACATTTCATGCTGACATCCATATTCTGAAAATCTTTACTCGTTTCTATCTGATTATTCCCCCTATCATACATTTTCACCCAGTATTGTTCCACTACATTCTATTTCTCAACTTTTATGTGTACTTTTATAAAGTGTGGCACCTTGAACCACTGAAGCTTTTGCACAATCTTCTACTTTGAAAAGCCAGTTAAACATGACGTTCATTAGTTTTGAAGGATATTAAAATCATGGATATGAACAACTAAACAATTCCAAACTACGAGTGCACCTTTACCTTTGGAAAGCTTCGAAATAACCCCGTTTCTCGACGAAATCTATCATGATTTGTTAATTTTGAACAGGGACATATTTTTTATCAAGTGCTGGAGGTTGCGCTACGTGTCGCTAAATGGTAAAGGTTGGAGTTCATTGGCAAATGGGTGGGATTCCAATGGCACTAAGAGCAGTACCACAAGATCCTAAGTTTGAAACCCAGTGAGTGTGTACTGATGAGGAGTCAAAAACTAGGACGAAACAGCTATCCAGTTCTTGGTTTTCCAGTGGTTCTCTAAATGGTGTCAACTCATGATTAATCATAAAATCAATCAAATACATGCAAAATCAACACTTGAAAATATAGATGCTTCACATCTTTTCTTAGAAAGATATGATCGGTATAGTAGTGAATAACGTTCCACAATTTAACAAGTAAATATTATTGTTTAAGCTAAAATGTTTAGTTATGTACAGTAAAAAATGTATATGTAGTATTCACCGTGTAAACATACCTCAGCTTCTGGGTGATCTTTCAGCGCCTTCAATATATCTTCACGTGAAAGAACAAATAATTCAGCATAGCCGACAGCTCTTACGTCAGCAGTTCGCCTGGTAAAATAAAAACAGATATTGAAATAAACTAAATATGGGAAGAAGTGTTAATTAATTATTCTTTCCACTAAATACATACTACTACTAATCTATGTAAGCAGCCGTAAAGTACTCATATTCATTGATAACATTAACTGATTAGATCGAAGTGGTCAAAATATCGGGTGATCTAAGGGCATAATAGTAATTATTATTACTAATAGAATATAAATAGTGTATATTAAAGGCACCAAGAGATGCCCTACACAAAATCGCATGATTTGCACGGGGGCTAAAATACTGCCTGGAAACGCACACTGAAGCAGGCGTTTGTATTAAGAGCCCACTAGTGAGACTTTGAACGAAGCAGCTTCAAGAGCTACGTTCCCATGATTTCCTAGGATCAAAACAGGTTCATATTCCATTCAATTCTTTTGGATTCTAGAGTCTATAAACATCACAGATTTGGAATCAGGGTTTTCTAGCTCTCCTAGGTAAACCTAAAGTATCCATCAGTGGGGTTATAAACACCAGACGTTCTCAATCGCATTTTCCCTTTCGTGAGGACGACCCCAGCCGAGTGAAGACAATGGCTGAGTAGTAGCTGACATAGGTAGACAAAACCGAATAGATCAGAGAGCTAACTCATTTCTTCTGGTAATCAATGCAAGCTGATCCATTTAAGTTATATCTCTAAAATTATTTAAATTAGAAGTACTTCTTAAACAGTTAAGTGAGTTTATTATCAAGAAAGGCGACAATTTCGCCCAATTATTTTGTGTCTCAGTAATACTAATAATAATCTTCCATAAGCTAAATAGTATTGTTTTTTTTTAACTTACCTATTGATACCGTCCAAATTAAGCACGCCAATTTCTCCGAAAAAGTCGCCTGCACTCATTGTTGAAAGAACTTCATTGTCTTCACTATATGAGATTTGCAAAAAAAAATGCGGAAAAAAAGGGATAGAGAAAAAGTTTTTTTCTTCTGAGTCAAACTTTGCAGACCGTTTATTTTTCTCATTGCCTTACCGTTTCAGGTATGACTGCAAAACAGAAATTGAAATGGTTACAGGATTTCATCATGAGCTGACATCGGTTAGAGAACCACTGGAAACCACCAGGGAGTACTGGAAAGCAAGTTCTTTCCTCCTTCCTAGTTTGAGATTCTTCAGTAGTATCCACCTAAATTCAGGGTTCGAACCCAAGACCTGCTGGTTATAAGGCGAGCTCGTGGACCATTAAGCCACTGGGACCGGATTCAATCGCCATTCCATGAATTCCAACGTCTGCGAATTTGTTGGAGGCGATTAGTGGGTCGTCAGTGTGAGAGTGACATGGAGGAGATCATGTGGCGAGGAGGAAATTAGAGATTATGGGCAATGGTGGAGGCAACTGGAGAGGACAGCACCAAATAGAATTAGGCGGGGATGTGTTTCTGGAGCCCTGTGTCCCACTCAAAATCCAAGGGAATAATAATAGTGAGAAGAAAACTAAATGTGATTGGAAAACTCTTATGATATCGTCTGATTTTTCTTCTTGATCCCCTAAAGTACCCTGATTGAAACAATCGGTTTCATATGTAAAGATTTTATTGGACGAAACCTAGACATTGAAATTTCCGTAACCTCGATGAGGGCACTTCTTTTAAGATGTTAATTTCATGTTCAACAAGGAATTCTATAAACAAATTGATGATGTGCCTATAAAGTTATCACTAAGAAGAATTCTAGTTAATTGCTTCCTAGCTAAATTAGAGGATCGACATCCGGAAACGGATGATCACTGAACTGGAGTTATACTGTCTTTGCATGGATGATACGTTTTGATTAGAAAGGAAAAAACCTACATTTATATTTTGAGTAATCTAACTAGTAATTAGAAGGCCTTTTATTCCAATCTTGCTGTGACGTAGATTTTTACTGCTTACTAGGTATAGCACCGGATGAGTTAACTAATTATTAGGAAGACAAAAGGATTGAGTGGAGAAATTTCTACTTATCAGTTAGATCCTCATGTGTTTGTTAACTGTAATTGGCCACTAATGACATGTCGTAACAGCGAGTGATAATTAACCAAGAAAAGTGATACAATAATTGAAGGATAAAGATATTTGCGAAAGGATAACAAGTAAATTACACAATTCCATATTAACAACATTTCACTCATTCTATATCTCAACCATATGATATTCACAAGTATTCATATTTCCGAATGTACTGTATTTTCCGATCATCTTTTTCAAACATGACTATTAGACTTTAGGTTTACCGCTATCTATTCAGTTATTCATTCATATTTCATTTCATTTCATTTCATATTTCTAATCAGTGGTGACTCATAATAATAGTAATAAGAATAATAATTATTAATAATTCCTTTAATTCCTAGAGGAACATAGGTCTACAGCCGTGCGTCTCCATTGCGTTCGCTTCTCTGCCGACATCTTCACCTGGCTCCAAGTCTGCCCACATGCTTTCATCTCCTCTTCACATGACCTCCTCCAAGTCACCCTTGCACTGAAGACCAACTCGCCACTTCCTTTTCGGGTTCCCCTCGAGTGATGGCTTGTCTAGTGATGTCACTTGATGGTTTCCTCAAAGTATGGTCAGTCCACCTCCATTTCTTCCTGAGCGAAAACAGCTGTTAATGAAGGACTGTAGTCTGTTTGAGGTGCTCTTTATGATACGCCAAGTCTCTGATCCGTATAGTAGCAATGACTTCACATTGGAGTTGAAAATCCGGATCTTATTTTTGATGCTGAGTGCTGTTGACCTCCACACAGACTTGTGAGTAATGAAAGCTTACCCTGCTTTGCTGATGCTTGCTTTGATATCCTCGTCAGTTTCGCCTGTAGTTGGGTGACTCATTATCCTTCACACTAGTTTCATATTAATTTGTTTATTAGATGGATAACACAGTTAGTGAAACATTATTATGTACTGGGTGACAAGGTTTCGAACACAATTTATTGCTATTCATAATCATTTCATCAGTTGTAATCAGACGACTTCGAAACTTCAGTTTTATAGTTTTCTTTATTCCTTCCTATTTCTCTTAGGGGTGGTAGAATTTTCCAGATATCTGGCGTTGAATTATTCATATTGCACGTGACTGCAGTCAATACGACAGACAAAGCTTCCGCTGTCAATCTCTCCCTCCACCCTGTAATGTAAGTTTTTCGAAAATGTCTTATCTCATCCTGTTGTGTGCTTGTGTGTAATTGCATGTATTGTATGCCATCTACAGATGAACTATTCTCTAGATCTCTTATCTTATTAGGGTCAACTATTCTGTGTTTTGCTAGGTTTTTATGCTTGGCTAGTCTGACTGCCCCTGTTCTACTAATTTGACCTATTTATTTGACCTGACAATCATCATCGCTGAAAGGTTATTAGACAAAGTAAATTAACTATGGAGTACTGGACAACTGTTTCGTCCTAGTGTGTGGAACCCTTCTTCATTAAATTCTGTTTTAGTTCATCATTTCTATTCATCAGATAATTTTGATTCCAATTGATATGAAGTGCTTCTGATGATGTTAGACGTTCTTTGGGATTTCTGAAATGCTTTTTCTGGATCATGATATCAATATTGTCAAAATCAATTATGTGGCCATAGGTTTACTCGCTATAGAATCAGACCACAAAACTGATTTTGACAATATTGAAATAATCATCCAGAAAAACTTCAGAAATCACGAAGAACGTCTAACATCATCAGAAGCACTTCATATCAAGTGGAATCCAAATTACCTGAATAGGAATGATGGACTAAAACAGAATCTCACCTGGTTACAACACCCCTTCCTCTCCCATGAAGTGACGAAATCAACATGAATGTGATAAGCGATTTCATTATATAAAGATACGCTGCTTCTACATTTCTACACACTTATTAAATCCAACAGTTTACACGTGGTTTTGTTATCTTTACCAACTGGCCAATTTGACAATGAAAAATGACCTCATACTGACGAACGATGATCAAGTTAGTAAACTTTGTTTTGATACCCTAGCAGATATACCATTACCTTTGTTATTTGGTTTAGTGATCTTCATTGTTATTTTGACTTTGAATATGTCCTTTTAAATTGACTTAAGTCTTTTTCCTCACCTCTTAACTCTTTGTCATATATATGCTGAGATTTTGCGAATTCTGGTTTAATAATACTTTGATAAAGCTATTAGCATTAAATAGCGAAATGTCAGTAAAAACAACAATATCGTTTTGTTTTTCATCCATTGGAAAATACAAAAGAAACCTTTATTATAATGAATATCATATACCCAATGCTCAAATGTTTTCAAACTGTTAAGAGTGAACTTGGTTTTGACATACATAATTCATTAATGAGTTTAAAAAAATCATGGGTAACATATCAGGTTCAAGTACAGTTTTAATTCCCTGAACACCTACCACTTTTGACTGGTATATACTGGATTTGTTGGCGGTATCATCACGCGTGAATCTATGATTACAAGGCGAGTACGTATGACCATTCAGCCACTGAGATGGAATCCAATGCCTCCTCAATCCTCCCTACTTGCTGAGCGGTCAACACACTCAGCTTGTCACCTAGAGGTCCTGAGGTTAACCTCCTATGAGGTGACGAGTGCATACTACTAAAGAGTCCCAAACTAGGTGGAAACATATGTCCAGTACTGAAGTCAGTTCGTTTTATCAAAATTAAAACAGTGAATTAACCGTCTCTTTGCTTCACCAATTCAGTTTTCTACTAATCGTCATATTGCTGATTTTTATTTAAGGTCATTTCATTGTTTAGAATCGAATGACCTATCACTTCATCCTCCGTCCACCTCCTTCCTCTCATGTATGAACATGATCACAAACGGGCCTATTTTATTGTGTACATTTCAACCAACCGGTTCTTCCTTTTCCTGGACTTTTATTGTAATCATTAGTTATACCATTACTATTATTATTATTGTTACTGTCAATGCTATTCCTTAAAATTTGACAGCATTGACCTGTAGGAAAATTAATGAGATTATATTCATCTCAAATAGGAGAAAGAATGACAATTATTATTATAACAACTAAGGCTACAATTGGAACTGTTTATTGAACACGAGAGGCGTTCATTTATTTATTCAATCCTTGTGTTTTCGTGTTTTGTTTAAACTCATCAAGAAGGTTATTAGTACAACAAAAATGGTCTCCTTCTTTGCTTAAAATTTCTATTTCTTCCTCACTGGAATAAATTATTTCATGTAAATTAAGAAGAATTATAAAGGATGATATATATATATATTAAAGATGTGTTAGGCAACTGGAGTCAAATAAAAGGATGGAAGCTTTCGTGTTTACTGTCACTCCTTAGCAAAGCGTATAAGTAACCTCAAAGGAACTGACTAATGTCAGTCCATAGATTCGCCACAGTCGAAACATATGAAATGTGATTTTATGTCTCTATTTCTAAGAAAATGCTAAATGGGAACCAATAGATTCAAAGGTGGCTTGACTGAAAATATCCTCAAAAAATGGATTACAGAGTCCTTGACTAGGATCAATGAGAAAAGTATCTCCTAGTGGACCATTATTGTTCGGTAGCATGATGAGCAAGACCCACAGGTTGGCCAACTCTGTGTATGTTTACAAGTTCACCTGCTTGTGAAGAGCTATATACGTTCGCTGTTCAAAGCGGTTTTTGTCGTACATAGTGCAAGCATACTATCCAATGTAGTTACTTTGAAGAATCTCCCGCATTACCGCACCTGTCACCTTCATTTATTTAATTCAATAGGAATTATTTTGCAATGTTGCACTATCATAATTATTATTACCTTGTTTGAGGAGAGAAAGAACGAACATGTTTGCAGGATAATACGAGCTCTTTTTATTTCGTGGATTCTCATCAACTGCATACATCCCAAACAAAATCAAATTATAGGTTTCAAGAAAGTTGTGGAACATACTTTTTCATAATTATTTTGAGTTATAGATAGAAGGCATAATGAACATAATTCCAGAATTTGATGTAGGTAGACATGTTGTTCGGTGTCAAAAACAACTAATTATATATAGTGGAATTAGATAAGAGCGGTAAGAGTTCAGATTTCTATTGGAAAACAACACAGATTGGTTAGAGGCATATTACAGGGTCAGGGTCAGAGAACAGAGTGAATTTACACATCTTGTGGTGGAGAGTTTAAGAGGGTGGGGGTGAATAGTGAAGTAACCTTTTTAACTTAAACAGACAAACAATTAGGTAGATTTAGAAACTTGAAGGTCAAAATTGAATAGAATGTTACGTAACAAGACAAACACACAGGCATACTGACAGAAAGGCAAAACAAAAATAAAATAGAGTTAGGGTTACTAAGGTAGTGAAAGATTAATCACAATATCTTTCTGTAAACAAAAGGTCTGGTCGAAATCTCTTGATAGCAATGGCTTCTGCGAAGCGAAGAAGCCGGGGGGGGGGGGGGGGGGTGGGTAGATTTGAAGGCTTGGATAATTTATATTGGGGGGGGGGGGGGGGGGGGGGGGGGGGGGAGAGAGATTAACACTTTCCTTCCTTTTGTGCAGAGATTTAGGAATGTGCTCAGAAAATCTAGTAGATGCTGCCCTCTCAGTCCTTCCTATGTACTTGCTTCCGCAGGTGCACGTGAATTGGTAAATGCAGTTGGAGTTGACGTGAGTAGGGTACTCATCTACTTTTGACTGGGTTAACGAGCACACAGTGTTGTGAAATAGGATCAGTCTGGCGGCTGGAAACGTTCTTTTTAATGCACCCGTGATTCTTTTTTGTGTTCTTGTGGATACGTCTTCCCCTTTGTACGCTAGGCAGATGAAAACTGGTTTCTTTTCAACGGTGTCAGGTTTCGGTTTCTGTACTTCTTCATTTCTATACTTTAATATGAACTTTCGAGGATATCCATTCTCGATAAGGTTCTTTTCGATGATCGCAAGTTCTTCTTCAATCTTGTCTTCTGAACATATTTCTTTGGCTCTGCTGAAGAGCGTTTTTACTAGACCTCGTTTGTAACTGGTTTGGCAAAAGCTGTGATAATGTAAGTATTGACCAGTCCAAGTTTATTTCCTGTAGACGGATTTTTGAATCGTCCCTTGTTGCATAATATACTAAATGCCTACTAATCTTAACAGTTATATTTGGTGGAGAGGATTTATAGCTCAGGTGAATGATTTTGATGTGTTGGTGTTCTCTGAGAAGGATGGTTAATTTGCAAAGCTTGCATTGCCCTTGTGTGTAATACACAAGAGCATATATATAGAAAGCAGAAAGAATGAGAGAAAAAATATTTACTATTCAATTAGATATTTATCTCTAGCTCTACTCTGATACTGTCCATAAAACTGCAGTTCCTTGGTGAAAACATCAGCGAAATAATAACACAGCGAGCACCTGAAGAATGCAGATAAAAAGAGCATATAATGCAGTTGAGGTACATTTCCTTTTCACAACCAACCCTATTCTACGTTCAAGAAATAAGGATAAACTACCTAAATTTGCCTCCTCTATGTGTATCTGCCAGTTTGACTGCAGCTGCGGAGCCATCTACATTGGGCGTGCAATTAGGCACGCTCACCATCGTATTTCCGAACATCATCCTGCATAGCAGTTAATCAAGGGATAAACAAGATCTATTCGTAGTAGATCTATTTTAGCACACCTTGTTGATAGTGAGCATAAGGTTGACGTTAATACTGCATTTGAAATTATTTATCGCATTCCTAATAATCTTTATTTTGCTTTACGAATTCGTCCTCTACATACCTACAGCTGAAGCAATTGGGATCCACCTAAAAAGCAAGCCAAACCTGCGTGTGTTCAGGAGAAATTTGTACAGCTACTTTCCTCACCTTGACCATGGTTACATGAATTTATAAACCGGACTACTTCGCCCCCCTCCCTCGAAAACCTTTAAAAGTTATAATTTTCGAATTATTTTGTTCTTATTACTATTTCAGCCTTAGTTACAACTTATCATTGTCCAAATCGTTTTATTTTTCTTCAACAATCTGTTACATAATCAACTTGTGCACACGCTTACTCCCCAATTACTCTTCATTTTTCCAAAATCATGCATTATGCAATCCATATGTTGTAACCATTTCTACCGTTTAATTGTGTGTATCAATTTTCTTCGTTAATTACCATCCTACTATTTGACATGTTGATACTGACTAATTATTATTAACAAACATATCAGTGCCACTTGATTGGTAAAATTGTCTTATATTGTAATAAAATTGCTATATGTGTATATTAGAGTAGAGCCAGAGTGAGATGAGGATCTAATTGAAAAGTAAATATTTCTTCGCTCGATATTTCTGTTTTCTAAATGTCTAAATGGAGATCTTTTCTGTTTATATATATATATATATATATGGCTGAATCTCCATATTCCCATAGTTCATTCAAAACAATAATTAATGATGGGATTTGTTTACGATAGCTTTTGTCCCCTAGGGCTCTACAATGATAAATTCAGTTTCCGATATAATTTTTCTATACGTTTACAAACCTTTTATATGAAAACATTAATGGATCTATTATTGAGAAGTCTAAGGAAGGAAGAAGCTTTTGAAAAATAAAACAATCCTTTCCTCTAACTATATGTCCAAACTGTAAAAAAGGAAGTTGTAAGGTGAAGATAAAGATATATCTTAATGACGAGTAGTCCTGTAGCGTGTGCGGTTGTGCCCGCCCCCTCCCACACACTTTGTACAGCCTATTATGTGAGTCTCACTTTGTTTGGTCAGAAGGTATTTCACAGTGTTAAACAGAGTTTAAGCTACCAAAAATGACGCTATAACTGCCTGCACCCCGGGAAACAGTTCACGGTTGGGCACAGATGCGTGTGACTACGGCATAGGTGCAGTACTAAGATAGGGTGAAGGAGCTGTCGATTATGCCAGTCGTGTTTAACACACACACACAGAACATAAGTATTCAACGATCGAGAAAGAATATTTACCAATAGTATGGGTGGCAGGCAAAATGAACACTTCATTTCTACTTGCCGAAGGTTCCATTCACCCTATTGGTACAGTGTGCTACCACCCAGGAAACAACAAAGAATCCCCTGTTTCACACAAATACGGTAGATAATCACGATTATTTATCCACAATAATGCCAGGCTCCTTCATCAAAAGTGGAGTATGACACGATTGCGAACGGGACAGAAAGAAACAGCCAGGAATGTTAGGCATATACAGCAGATGGACGCTGAGAAATCTGAACTGAGCGAAAAGATAAAGTGCATATCGTTTGCAGTCAAAGATCAGGTGAAGTGTAGAGAAAGATAGGAAAGAGGTGAATGAGGACTAGGTTTGTGGAAACTCCTTCCGAAGTGGGAAGGGCTATTCACTGTCACTCAGTGACATGGTTGGAAAGGATAAGCATCAAGGAACTCTGGAAGGAAACAACATATCACACAACAAAAAATCTGGATGGGTATGAATTGTTCATAAATGTTGCAGACAATTCCCAATAACATCACATGCCGAAGTGGATATCTGAAGATATCATGAAGCCTATGGCAGAATGAAAGAAAAGCTTGTGACCAAGAGCAGTGCTAGGTAAAGGTGATGACAATGAACAGAGTGAGATGAATATGTGTCGCTCATAGTCTGTAGGTAATCAAAAAATGAAAAATAATATCAAATAACCGTCACCTCTGAAGAGACACCAACATGTACGAAACAGCTATTCAGTACTCTCTGGTTGTTTCACGATCTACCTCTAGTACTCCATGAAAAGTAAGTATATGATCACTACGCATTATCAAGTATATTCCATGTCTTCATCATGCACATTTTTCAGTATAATCAAAAATGGACAATAAAAATCTTTTTATCAAAACTAAAAGAAAAGCAAACATGACAGACATTACTTTAGAACTTCAAGTACCCCATCTGCAATAATGTAGATATCACGAGCTATTTCACCTTTACGACAGATTAAATCTCCAGGTGTTAACACCAGTGGTCGCATTTTCAAGACGATATCATGTAGGAATTCTGGTCTGCATTCATGAAAGATTGTCACCTTTATTAAGAAAAAAGGAAGCGGAGAAACAAGCAATACAAAAAGCCCTTTAAAGTTTTGAGTTTTTATAGAAATTTAGAACAATTTTAGTTAAAGAAATTTGTTGAAAATTAAGGGATTAAACCATTCGTTGACATCAGCGAAAGAATCACTGAAAACCAGGATGTACTGGACATCTGCTTTTGTCGACTGACACTTGAAAATTCATCTACTGCTCAATCACTATTGAAAAACTACAGGAGGGAGTCTTTGGAGCTCCAGCGAGGTGTGATTAGTGGGGTCCATTGTGTTGAGCGTTAAAACGGTATGCTTAAGTCACCGGGCCAACAGGATTTTTATCCATGAAAAATGCTCAATTGCTTCTGTATTTCATGCTGTTTTAATCATCCTATTATATCGGATGACCACTACATGAACTCACTCACATTTTTTGATTAGCTTTCAACAGAACGCTGTGTAACTTTTGATAGAAATGAAGAAAAAGAAATACATACAATTTGTTCTTACTTCAAATGTAAAAACACCACGTCACATTCTGGTGATTTGATACAGACAATGCGTTCTGACAGACTGTTATTCTCACGTATTGCCACAGTTCAATACTGCGTTAGCAACAGAATGCTTTACATGTATATTTGAACAATCTATTTCGTGTTGTTTAATGTAAACCAAAATAACAAGCTCAGTGACTGGTTAAAGAATATAAAAAGAGAAGACGTTCAGCGAAGAGACTCTTTTCGACGAATTCATTCACATAGCTGTACAATCGCATTTATATAAATAATTATTTGTGTGTGTGTGTACGTGAGGTTTGTCAAGCTTAGATAATTGATTAGTTAAAACAAGAATGATTTAATACAGAAAGAAGGTTAATTAGACAGCAGATAAAGTAAGATTGAGTTAGTAAGTTAGATGACGTAATATAATTGACTAAAATGTTTCAATTGAGGTCAGTATATAGCAACAGAGGTAATTACAGGTAGAGACCAAGTAGAGGTGAGGTAGAGAATAATGTCATTTAAATCAGGACTAAAACTGAGCAAGTAAGTTGGATGACGTAACATAAATGACTAGAAATTGAGCGTTGTTCAGTTCAGTAACAGTGGTAGTGAGGTGTAGGAATTGAATCGGGTGCGGGTAGAGAACAAGAAAGTTGAAAATGTAAAATACTACAATTGAGAAGACAAAGTAATACTAATGAAGAGACAGAAGAAAAGATTAGGTAGAGTTTACTTGTAGTGTAGTGATTGAACGAACTTCTTCTGTATGCAGAGTTCAGGACTTAGCAAGTGAATCGCCATTGCCTCTGCAGTTTGAAGAAGTCTGATTCGTAAACCTTTAGGAAGACTACTTCTAACTGTGTAGACGACTTTGAAGTTTGTTTGCGGTATAGCTTGGTATCCGGATTCTATCAGATGTTCTAAGATGGAAATGCGGGGGCATCGATTTTCTCCTTTGTAAAACCATGTTAGTAAGTGTTCGGTGATACGTTTGGAAAGCGAGCGCTGGGTACGGCCAACATACCTGGCTCCACACGAGCGGGTGAATTTATAAATACACATTGATGAGGCCAGCAGCGGTAGCTTATCCTTCACGTTCATCTGAATCATAGGTTTTGTGAAGAAGGTTAGTGGTAGTACGGCTGCGAAGAAGGTCTTCTTAAGTGAGCGCGACAGTCGATTTTTTAGTGTTTCCGCAGATACATCTCCATTGAATTGAAGATTCATGTAGAGTAGTTTTTTCGGGACGCTAAGCATGGATGGCTTTTCTGGTCTAGGATTCATAGATTTTGCAATAAATCTTTCAGGATGACAATTCTCGATGAGGATTCTCCTGAGATTGTCGAGTTCATCTTCTATGGTGTCAGCGGTGCAATATATATGTATATATATATATATATAAATCGCGGTTTTATCAATTGAAAATATACCTTGGCTTCGGTGGCTTGCCTTCTGTTAAATCATGGTATAATTAAAATTTTTACTTTACATGCAAATCCTGTATTCACAGGAAATATTCTGGATAAGATTTTATTTTGATAAATCACACAGTGTTTGCTATACAGTAATATTAACTGATGACCACGTTTCGAACACAACTTATCGCAGCCACTCATAATCATCGTAACAAGACACTACTCACACAACTCACTTGCTTGCTTTATTTATATACATGAGTAAAAACTGATGCGATTAGACATTTGATTGAATAAAATCAGTAATATAAGATAAAGTACATTCGGAAATAATGATATTAGTGTTATCAATAAAATCACGAAAAATACCCACTTATTGATAAGTAAAAACACAGTTTTTGTTCAGCGAAGAAATTTCTTTTCAACGACCTCCATCTTCAAGCTGTACAGTCGTATTTATATTACAGAAAAGGTCATTAAGTGGCACTAAATAATTGCTCAGTCAATATAAATACATGTGATAAGAATAACGATTATTAAAATATTATAAGGGGTAGAGTTGAAGTGGATAAATTACAAAATTATTAAAGATTGTTTTATAAGTGAATTGAAAAATGTTTTAAAAATGTCAAGTGTTGTCTAAAAATTTTATAAAATAAGAGTACGATTACGATAAGAATGAAGATGTGAAGTGAAGTGGAAAGAATTCAAGTGGTAAAATAAAATAAAGTAAAAACAAGAAAGAACATTACTATGACCAAGGTAAAGAAAGGGTTTTGACAAAACGTTTTTGAACACATAATTTAGGTTTTTGTTCATGTATAGCTAAAGCTTCGGCTATGCATAAGTGAAGAAAACGTAAACTTTTGTATCGATTCAATTTTGCCATGTAGATAACCTTGAAGGATGAATCACGTGGGGCTGAATGACCAGACTCTAACAGGTGATCGCAAATAGACGACTTCGCAGTTCTACGTTCGCCTTTCATTAACCAGACTGGATAGTGTTCAGCTACACGTTTTCAGAGAGTACGCTTACAACGTCCAATATAAACAGCTCCACAAGAGCAGGTAAAAGAGTAAATACACATGGATGTGGACAAAAGCGGTAATCTATCCTTGACGCATTGCAGCTGATTTACAACTAGTTTTTACCAGCCGAAATATGATTAGACAATGCGTCAAGCTTTAGCTATACATGAACAGAAACCTAAATTATGTGTTCAAAAACGTTTTGTCAAAACCCTTTCTTTACCTTGGTCATAGTAATGTTCTTTCTTGTTTTTACTTTATTTTATTTTACCACTTGAATTCTTTCCACTTCACTTCACATCTTCATTCTTATCGTAATCGTACTCTTATTTTATAAAATTTTTAGACAACACTTGACATTTTTAAAACATTTTTCAATTCACTTATAAAACAATCTTTAATAATTTTGTAATTTATCCACTTCAACTCTACCCCTTATAATATTTTAATAATCGTTATTCTTATCACATGTATTTATATTGACTGAGCAATTATTTAGTGCCACTTAATGACCTTTTCTGTAATATAAATACGACTGTACAGCTTGAAGATGGAGGTCGTTGAAAAGAAATTTCTTCGCTGAACAAAAACTGTGTTTTTACTTATCAATAAAATACAATCAGATGGAAAATAAGATGTTTTTATAGGAAAATAAATAAATAACTTGTTAGAATGTTATTATGTACGTGAATTGAATACATTTTGACATTATTTAGCATCCTCTGATTTGACTGGTGGTAATAATATCTTCCATACATATCTCTGGTATTTGCGTTGAATCGCTTCTATTGAATGTGTTGTGTTAGTTGTGTGGACTTGATGAACCAGGCAGGATTTAGTAATCAACCTCTCCCTTCCTCCACCTACCTATATTACTTCTTAGAATTTTGACTCCATTCAACTCACCCTACTATGTGGTTGTGTGTTAATGCATGTAGTGCTATTGTTGAGTCGTTTTTTCTAAATTACTTATCTTCGTGGTTGAGGTCAATCATTCTAACCTCAGCTAAATTCTTATGTTCTGACAGGCAATCTCACCACTCCTGATCTACTAGTTTGACCTATATAGTTTACCTGAGTCACAGTCGTTGCAATGTATTTTGTAAATTATATAAATTTGTTTAATTGGGTCCTTTGTCCTACAGAGCTTGTCCCTGCCTGAATGAGTTTGTAGGTTTGAATGCCATCCTAATTCCTGGTTTTTTGAGAATCCCACGAAGGGCCTCAGTTGTCCCCTTTTTCCATGGTAAAACTACTGTAGATGCCTTATATTCTTTTTTATTTCTGTTATCATTAATAGTTTCACCATTATTTTGCTTTTGACCTTTTCTGATATTCCTGATGAATTTTATAGGATAATTGTGTGTGACTTGATATGATTATGAGTGACAATAATTTGTGCTCGAAACGTGGTCATCAGTATATATTACTGTACAACACTGAGTGATTTGAATAAGGCATTAAGAAGACAAATTTCGCGAGATGATATCATTTCGTAGTTTCTTTACATCCGCTTTACAACTAACATGGTTAACAATAATAAAATAAAGTTCATGACAATTACTCAGTTAAATAAAAACAAAAGTACATACTAGTGACCAATCATATTTAGATAGGTCAAGTAGTCCACGGTAGGCGAAGATTGAAGTCTATTGATTTTTGTACACACAGTTTAGGCTGTATGTGATTAATCCAAAGTGCTTCCATCACCTTCAATAACCTTGAATTAGAGTTATGTGAAATAATTGTAACTTGAAAACGGGAAATTGAAGGACATCATCAAGCAGTTTGATTTGTATTATCGATATGTCGATGATACATTTATCTTAGCTGACGAGAATGTTAATATAGACGAATTGTTGCTGAAATTCAACAATATCCACCCTTCGCTTACCTTTACTTGTGAAGAGGAGCAGGACAATAAACTACATTTCCTGGATGTCTTGCTAAATAAGAGAGAAGATGGGTCACTTGGGAGAAGCGTGTATAGAAAAAGCACGTTCACAGGGCAATATACACACTTCCTTAGTTACGTGCCCATTAAATATAAAAGG